TCATGCAAAATCACCAACCAGCAGAGAATCGCTACCATGTCATGAGTTCAGCTACACTGCGGCACAATGGCACGACGACACGGCGATACGGCGGCACGGTGACACAGCGGTACGGCAAAACGGCGGCACTGCGGCACGATGGCACGGCGCAACGACAACGCGGTTCTACGGTGCCACGGCGGCACGGCGACACGACGGTACTGCGGCATGGCGGCACCACGGCACGGCGACACGGCGGCGCCGCGGCACGGTGGCTCTACACTGCGGCACGGGCCAGCGGGCGCGGGGCCAGTGGGTGCGGAGCTGGCGAGCGCAGGGGCTTGAGGACAGAGGCTGGCAAAGTCGGGGCCAGCAGGAGCGGGGCGAGCGGGTGCAGGACCGGCAGGCGCCGGGCCAGCAATTGCAAGCTGGCGAGCGTGGGGTCGACGGGCACGAGGCTGGCGGGCGTGGAGCTGGCGAACAAGGGGCCAGCGGGTGCGGGGCTGGCGGGCACGGGGCTGGCGGGCACGGGAATGGCGGGCGCGGGGCTGGCGAAAGCGGGGCCAGCGAGCGCGGGCGAGCGGGTGCGGGGCCAGCAGGCACGGGGCCAGTGAGCGCGGGGTTGGCAAGCGCGGGGCCGACGGGAATGGGGCTGGCGGGCACAGGGCTGGCGAACGCGGGGCCAGCGGGCGTGGGGCTGGCGGGCACGGGGCTGGCGGGCAGAGGGCAGGCGGGTGTGGGGCTGGCGAAAGCGGGGCCAGCGAGCGTGGGTGAGCGGGTGCGGGGCCAGCAGGTATGGAGCCAGCGGGCGCTGGGCTGGTGAGCGCGAGGCCGACGGGCACTGGTCTGGCGGGCGTGGGGCTAGCGAGTGCGTGGCCAGCAGGCACGGGGCTGGCAAGCTTGGTGCCAGCAGGTGCGGGGCAGGCAAATGCGGAGCTAGAGGTGCGGGGCCAGCAAACTCGGGGCCAGCAGGCACGGAGCTTCGTGCGGCTCAAAACGGGCGGCTCGAAACGGGCAGCTAGCGACGGGAAGCTAGGTTTGGGCAGCTAGGAATGGGCGGCTAGGACTAGGCCTAAGGCGGAAGCGCGGGTGGGCGGGGGGGGACCTAACCTAGCGTGATACCATGTCCAAGTTAGAATGAATGAGTAGAATGAGGCAATCACGTTTCCCAATGATTGCCAATCAAGTTTCCCGAGAAAGGCAAAAATTACCTGCAACATTGGGAAACAGAACACGTGCAGCCTCAAGCGTTACAAAATGTGCGTCACGTGTTCAGTTTCCCAATGTTGCAGGTAATTTTTACCTTTCTCGGTTCATATCGGTTCATTTGGGCAGTTTATAAAATCGCAATTTATCGCGATTTCGGAATGCCACCTTTATCGGAAATCCTAAGACCTGATTTCTGCCGAAGGGGTTGTTCGTAGAGGCAAAATCTGAGATGAATCTTTACCGCCCCTCTGCCGAATTTTGCCCGAACTGCCTTCCTGTCGAACTCCGGCATAAAGCAATTCTGCACGAATGGGTCCTTCTGGCAATCTGCCTTAAAGCCCGCCCAGCAGGTTGCATATTTGTACTGCTCTGGTAGGTGGGGCCGCAGAATCTGATTGGTCGATGAATCGTTATAGAAACGAATAATTTTGGCAAAGAGGAGGCTTCGCAGAGTCAGTGCTGGTTCGCGCAAGCTAGCGGGGCTGGAAACTTGGCAGGGCTGCCAAGTTTTGGAGCTCTCTTTCTGGCCATGAACCACCTCCCCAGCTCTGCCAAGTTGGCTGTTGACATCACAACCAGCACCTCGTAGTGACCGGTTTCGAAAACAAAAATCGGATGCGGTTTGGGGCGCTCTACAGTTCGATAATATGCAACATAAAAAGTTCGAAGCACATATTTCTTTCGCGATTCCCGCCCAAACTGCGAGTACAATCTTAGGTTTCTACCCTCCTCACAACTCGTCCCATTTCTCCCCTCCAAGAACTTGGCAGGTTGGCACTGCCAAGTTCCGAGAGGCCCCCAACCCTGCCATGTTGGAAACCTTTCGCAAGCGTTTGGCAGTTTGATGCAAGCTGCTCGGTTATGGGGGCCTCAAGGTGCAGCATCTTGAGAAAAGGGGACTTGCAACCTGCCGGTCAGGCTTTAAGCCCTTCTGCAGCTCAGTATCAAATTCCGACTCTGCCGAGGGGTCGGCTGCCAAAACATGTTCCGTGAACATTTCCGCTGACGACATTCTCTTCTGTGAACGACCCCTGGCATCAAATCGGCAAAGAGCTTCTTCACTCCCATCTCAGCCGAGGTCGTCTCTATAGAAACCACTTGCTGTAGATTCCATATGAAAAAAATTGCACCTGTTCTGCAGTGTGCTATAGATTATAGTGAGACCCAGGAACAACAGTTAAGGGATCTCGAAACAGTTTTCACAGTACTCCAGAAGCATCAGCTGCTCACGAAGAAACCTAAGTGCAATTTTTTAAAATATAGGTTGGAGTTTAAAGGTTATGTTATCTCAGCTAAGAGCGTCGAAGTGGACTCGCGTAAGATCGAGACAGTGCAAGCTTGGCTGCCGCCATCGAACTTGCAGGAGCTGCAAAGGTTTTTAGGGTTTGTGAGTTACATTCGGAGTTTCATGCCGACCATGGCGGGGGTAACTGCATCATTGACCGACTTGCTGCAGAAATTGACTGAGTATTGGTGGGGCGGGAAAGAGCAAGCTGCCTTCTCCGTGCTAATTTTTTTTTGGTGCTCAGCCTCTGTGTTAAAATTATATAAGTTATAATTTAATATAGGCTTGGTAGGTTGTTACTGAACCTTTCTGTAGAGGGTACAAACCTTTCTTCTCGACATTCTCTCCCTTCCTAGATCCGTTTTCCTCACGCCATTCCATGGCGGCCTTCTTCCTAGTATTCTAGCCAACCTAGCCTCCTAAGTTTAAGAACCTTGAGTCCTAAGTTTCTAAGATGGTGTCAGAGCCGGTCGTGTCCACCGGACCCTCTCCCTACGTTCCCGTTGCGTACTCCTACTGCATTCGCAGCCTTCGCGGTTTTCTGCCTGCCTGCCGTCGCGGCACTAAGTTGTCGCGACGGCCCCTTGTTGCCTGCCGTCGCGGCGCCAGGATGTCGCGACGGCCCCTTGTTGCCTGCCGTCGCAGCACCAAGGTGTCGCGACGGTCCCTCGTTGCCTACCGTCGCGGCGCCAAGGTGTCGCGACGGCCCCTTGGTGCAGCCGTCGCCCGTCCGCCTCGCCGCTGCGACATTGACGGTGCGCTGTGGCGGCGTCTGCGGCAGCCGACGGCATCATCGGGCTGCGGCCGGCCGAGCGACGTCTGTGGCGTCGCCGGGCCTGCCGCCCGCTCGCCACAGACGGGCGTCCCTCAGGACGACGTCCTCCCGCCAATAAGCGCCGCGCCATTTATGGCGCGTCGCTGAAGACTCGCCTCGCCCCGCCCCCTCCCCTCCCCCCCCCACCTGCACCTGCTTCCCCTGCATCCCCCCCTTTCTTGCTGCAGCCGATGACTGCCATGTGAGGGACCTCTCCACCGCCGAGGAGACAGGACATGCCGCCGAGAGGGCGGGGGCCGCCGCACCAGCCTCTGTCGTTCGAGCCCCCGGCGCCGCCGCTGTTGCCGCAGGCCTGGAGCCGCCGCACACCGCCGCCGCCGCCGCTGTCGTCACTGTCGCTGCTGCCGCCATTGCCGTCTCAAGGGGCCGTGAGACCTACCCTCTTCCGGAGTCGTTTCGGCTCCTGCTGGGAATGGGGGTGCTGGGCTAGGGGGTGTGGGTGTGGGTGTGGGTGTGGGGGTGTGCGTGGGCTTGACACTACCAAGCCTAGGGGGTGTGTTAAAATTATATAAGTTATAATTTAATATAGGCTTGGTAGGTTGTTACTGAACCTTTCTGTAGAGGGTACAAACCTTTCTTCTCGACATTCTCTCCCTTCCTAGATCCGTTTTCCTCACGCCATTCCATGGCGGCCTTCTTCCTAGTATTCTAGCCAACCTAGCCTCCTAAGTTTAAGAACCTTGAGTCCTAAGTTTCTAAGACTCTGCCCTTTGATTCGCCGATCCTTACCGTCCGTTCGAATTTATCACGGGCGTCAGCGCCATCGCCATAAGAGTAGTACTGTTATAGGACTTTGACAACAGTCTACAGCCAATCGCGTACGATTTATGGAAGTAACACCCATCCGAGCGAAACTATCCGATACATGACAAGGAGATTATGAGAGTAGGATATGTATCAGAGGAGAAAGGATTATTTCTATATTTTCTAGGACACTATGGATTACCTAGAATACACCTTTTAATTATTTGGACTATTATATCCAAAGTGGTTATTTGGATAATTCTCAGTCATCATAAGTGTTTATGTTATCTAGATTAACTGTTGCGTGCACCGACTGTTCACCATCTTTCGGCGAATCCTCTAGTGCTTTTAGAACAGTTGCTTCTAGTGGGAAATCACTCCTTTCTGGAATATTCAAGTTTTAGCTAGACTCGTGCCTCGCTCGGAGGACCTTGCGAGTGCTCGCCTATAGATTCTGTTGTTCCTCGCGATTGTCATTATTATTCATTCTATAGTTTACACATTTTCTCTCACATTACGCATAGCGCATTCGATAATGTGACACCAGTCACGCAATGTGCGGAACGTTGGCGGTCTTACTTAAGACCATACCTAGGAGGGGGGAGAGTGTAAGGAAATGGTATTTCCTTATCTGGGGTTTAATTGATAGTATGGCATACACTGTTATAACGGGGTTGTAGCGCAGACTGCTACGAAATTCAAATCGTAGCACCCAAATGTGGCCTCTTGACGAGCCGCATGCATTTCACCTGCCTTATCATTTCATGCCTGAATACATGCGCTCCGCGCCAATTTACAAACCACGCGTCTCCACTCCGGCCAGCCTCGACCGTGTCCTCCAAGCCTGTTGTTTTTATGTTGCCTCATTTGTATGTTTTTTCCTCGATACTCACTGTTTGCGCTTCATTACAATTTCTATGGTGGGACCATGCAAAACCATTCGGGCAGAATACAAAACAGGTCATATTTCCACCTGGCCACTATCCTGTAAATTTATCGCATGCACATTTCATAGCAACCTAATTCCACGTCATGCAGCCGAATGCGTACAGCCAATGTGTGTAGGCACCTCTTTTCACATGAGTGTCTCTTAGGCATCTGCCTGCCAGTCTGGCAGCCAGTCCAGTGTCTCCAGTCCTCCCTGCTGCACCAGGCATGCTGCCGCCTCCATCAGCAACTCATCCTCCCCACCTCCAGCCCCTTCGTGCCTCGCGCTTTCGGTCCTTGCGAATTTCTCTGCAGGTTTTTGCGCCGCAGCCACAGTCCACATCCCAGGATTGAGTGCCACAGTGTTAAGCCTCGCATGGTTTTGGATACCATAATCGCCAGCAGCAGATTCACAAGCGGCATTATCAGTCACAAAGCTGTTGGTTAGTCCAATGGTGGGATAGCTAGCCTCCCACTGATGACCTGGCATCACAAGCTGCAGACCTGGATTCTCCTGCGACTTTGAAGCGTATGACTGCGTACCTAGCCCTGCCTGATGGGATTCTACAGGTGGCACCTGGGGGAGGTGGAACTGCTGGCTGAGGGGAGGAGCACTATTTGATTTTTGAGGCGTCTTAGAAATAAATTCTGCAGGTGGCACCTGGGGGAGGTGGAAATGCTCGTTGAAGGGAGGAGTACTGTTTGCGTATGGCGTGTGATCGTGGATCAGAGGGGGATGGGCAGTGGCGGGGCAGAGATGCGCACTAGGGGACAAACTGCGGCATGGACGAACGCTAGTGGTGAAAGGCAGGGTGAAAGGAGGTAAGTGGGGCTGTGGTAGCATCTGCCCTTGCACCCGAGCTTCAGGCCTGATTTGAGGTGCCATCTGCTGCTGTTGCTGTTGCTGCTGTTGCTGTTTCTGCTGTTGCTGCTGCTGCTGCTGCTGCTGCTGCTGCTGCTGCTGCTGCTGCTGCTGCTGCTGCTGCTGCTGCTGCTGCTGCTGCTGCTGCTGCTGCTGCTGCTGCTGCTGCTGCTGCTGCTGCTGCTGCTGCTGCTGCTGCTGCTGCTGTTGCTGCCAGCGCTCTCCTTGCAAGTGTTGATGAGGTGCATCAAACCTCATCTGAAGTACCACCGCCGGCTGCTGCTGCTGCTCCTCCCCTTGCGATGGCCAGCAGCCGCATGGCTGCGGCCCAGCAAGTGGTGAGGAACACGGAGGCGCTGCTGCTTGAAACAGAGTGTTGGTCGGGGTTGGTGCCAGAGGAGGGGACAAAAAAGAAAGGGTGTGAGTCTGGGTTTGAGCCTGAGTTTGTGCCACAGCGTGTGTGTGCGGCTCTGAACCGAGCAGCAGCTGACGTGGCACCAGATCCTCCAGCTGCCCCTGCAGCTGAGGTGGTGCTGACTCATAATCATGGCATTTGGCGACCAGGTTGGTCGCAGCCGAGCTTGTAATTGCGTGTGTGGCAGTCTGCGGGACAGTTTCTGTCACCGGGCAATCTACCACAGTAAAACGCACCCACTGGGAATTCTGAGGCGCCTGAAAAACCTGTGCGGCAGTTTCTGCCACAGAAATTCGCATTGGTAGCGGGGCAAGTTCCACAGCCCGACCCACATTGGTGGTGCTGCTGCTCCTGCTGATGTTCGTGCCACCACTGCCCCCAGTCATCGCATTGCCACCAGTCATCACATTGCCACCAGTCATCACATTGCCACCAGTCATCACATTGCCACCAGTCATCACATTGCCACCAGTCATCACATTGCCACCAGTCATCACATTGCCACCAGTCATCACATTGCCACCAGTCATCACATTGCCACCAGTCATCACATTGCCACCAGTCATCACATTGCCACCAGTCATCACATTGCCACCAGTCATCACATTGCCACCAGTCATCACACTGCCACCAGTCATCACATTGTCACCAGTAATCACATTGCCTCCAGTCATCACATTGCCACCAGTCATCACATTGCCACCAGTCATCACATTGCCACCAGTCATCACATTGCCACCATTCATCACATTGCCACCAGTCATCACATTGCCACCAGTCATCACATTACCACCAGTCATCAAATTGCCACCAGTCATCACATTGCCACCAGTCATCACATTGCCACCAGGCATCACATTGCCACCAGTCATCACATTGCCCCAGGTATCACTCCAGCTGCCACCAGCCATAGTAATAGGCATACCCCCGCCGTTGTGGCCCCTCTCGCTGTTCCAGTTGGTCCCAGCATTGTTTTTAGATGTCTCAAAATGCATAGCCATAACCCTAGTCCCACCATGGCCATTGTCGTTCCTCTCACTGCTCCTGTTGGTACCACCGTTGTTGCTGCAGCTGCTGCCGCTGCTCATGCTGCTGCCATGGCTGCGTGGGGTTGAAGAGAATTCGGCACGAGAGACGTTGGCTTGGAACATGCTGAGCAGCAGAGAGTGGGAGTCTCCTCCCGGGAGGGCGCATGATGGGGATGGTGAAACCCTGGGAGCCGCAGCAGCGCCCATGGCACCAGCAGGACCCATGGCACCAGCAGCAATGGCAGCACCACCAGTGGCATCTGCTCCAGCTATTCCTGCACCAGTCGCACCTCCTCCAGCAATGGCGTTCGTGCCTAGGGTCTGTGCAGAAATTACAGCAGGAGCAGAAGCAGGCGCGGAAACAGCCGAGTGGGCGAGCAAAGAGTGCAGGTCGAGTGGCTGCTGCTGCTGATATGGATGGTCCTGCTGGGTTTGTTGATGCGCCTGCTCGTGATTAACGCACAACTGAGACTCCTGCACTTGCTGATGGTGTTGATTATACAGCTGCTGGTTTTGAGGCGCCCCAAAACTAAGCTGATGGTGATGATTATACCACTGCTGCTGCTGCTGCTGCTGCTGCTGCTGCTGCTGCTGCTGCACCACAGTGCACTGTCCAGCATCCTTCCAACCTTGCTGGTTCCACGGGTTGGTCCATGGGGAACAGTGGTCAGCGGGAGGCGAGAGACCCATCTTACCGGGCTTAGGAGGCCCGAGGCAGCCAGAGGCATGAGGTGCATGAAACGCACGGGGGGTTTGAAAGCCATGGGACGTTGGATATGCCTGGGAGGCATCAAAGTCGTGCGACGTGCGATGGGCGAGAGGCGACCGCAAGGCATGCGAGGGAATGCACGGGTCAGAGAGCAGGGAGTCGTCTTCTCTTGACCGCTTGCCCAGGGAGGGCGATGAGAGCGGGTGCTGGGTCAGACAGCCCGGGGCGGAATTGGATGAAAGACCGCTCTGCACTCCTCTGGCTGCTGCATCTGCAGCTGAGATTCTGAGGAGGATGGCAGCTGCGGCAGATGCTGCTGCTGCTGCTGCTGCTGCTGCTGCTGCTGCTGCTGCTGCTGCTGCTGCTGCTGCTGCTGCTGCTGCTGCTGCTGCTGCTGCTGCTGCTGCTGCTGCTGCTGCTGCTGCTGCTGCTGCTGCTGCTGCTGCTGCTGCTGCTGCTGCTGCTGCTGCTGCTGCTGCTGCTGCTGCTGCTGCTGCTGCTGCTGCTGCTGCTGCTGCTGCTGCTGCTGCTGCTGCTGCTGCTGCTGCTGCTGCTGCTGCTGCTGCTGCTGCTGCTGCTGCTGCTGCTGCTGCTGCTGCTGCTGCTGCTGCTGCTGCTGCTGCTGCTGTTGCTGCGCCAAGAGCTTCAAATGCTGCTGCAACAAATGCTGTGGCTGCGCCTGCGCCTGTTGCACCGACTGCAGGTCGTTTCCGAATATAGTGGATTGCGCGTTCTGCACCTCAACTTGTGCTTCAGATCCAAATCCCGCTCCCACACCGGTCTGTGCTGCATCTTGTGCTGCAGAGAGCGCAAGGCGCAGGCCGATGGGCAGGCCAGTGTGGTTGTGCTTGTTGAGGTATGTCACTCGGAAGCACAGGATGGACTCAGGGGGTGTGCCGCCCGCCTGGTGCTGCGCTTCAAGGTTAGCGCCGGGCGACAAGTGAGACGGCAGGGCGGCAGGGGTGCAAGGAATTAGCTGCCAGTCAACGCGCTTGCGAGCCGCACAGTTCTGGACGACGTTAGGGGTATCCAGAGCCACAGGAGCAGCAGGAGCAGGAGGCTGATCAGACGACTCGGAAGTCGAAGCCAGTGCTGTGGCTGATGATCCTGCTGCTGATGCGCCCGTGTCTTCCTGGTTGCATGCGTCGCTGGCAGGGTGGACGATGCACGTGGAGCGAGCACAGCGGAAGTAGGACCTGCAGAAGAGGAGGAAAGGGCAGGGGGGTTAGGAGGGCAGGGGGGTTAGGAGGGCGCAGGAGGTCTGCATCAGAGTCGACTAAACAGCAGGCTTGTTGGCGACGCACGTGGACCGAGCACAGCGGTACGACCTGAGTGAGGGAAGAGCAGAGGGGAAGGGAGGAGGACAGAGGACGAAGGACGGAGGATGGTGGAGGAGGAGAAGGTGGGGAGAAGGGGAGGAAAGGAGAAGCTGAGATGACAGGGGGATGGTGCTCTGGCAGGAGAACTGCAAGGGGGTTGACCACGCCATGAAAATGTGGCTCCCATCTATATAGTAGCTTTAGTTGTTCGTTTAGCAAGGCTGCTTCGTGGTTGACATATCTACACTATACGTACTCTCTCCCTACACCGTTTATGCGGTCTGGCAAAGAAAATATGCAGGGAATGCGGGTTCTGCCACAGGTCAGGGGAATGCTAGGGCCCAACACCGTGCTGTGACAAGCGTACCTGTGGCAGTTGGATTTCACGAGTCGTTTCTCCCCGTACTTGAGCCAGCAGTGCCCATCATCGGGCATCACCTCCTGTGGCACGCGCCTCAGCTGATCTCTGTGCACCGCCGCCCTCTGCGGGAACAAGCTGCTGGTAAGCGGCACCGGCACCGGCTCTGAAACCGGCCCCACCGCCGAGCCCCCCACCGCAGAACCCCCCACCGCCGAACCCCCCACCGCCGCAAGCGTAGCCCGGGGCGGTGGATTCGCCGTGCTAGAAGAGTCACCAGAGATGTTAGAAGCCGCGTTGCCACTCGTGTTGAGAGCCGTGCCGTGTGCAGCAGTAGTAATGTCCCCAGCAGTGGTAGTAGTAGCAGCAGGATGGCGACGCCTTGGCGCCAGATGACTAGTGCTGGCAGCAGGGGTGGGAGTGCCGGTAGTATCCCCAGTGTGGTTTCTCCGCCTGCGTGCCATGATGGTAGCGGCCGGCACGTTAGAAGACCCGCAGCCACAAAACAACCCTGTTGAACAGCTCCTGTCTCTCACACAGAGTGTGCCCAAGAATCCTTAGAAGCCTTCTCAGAGCTGATCTGAGATCAGCTCAATATATCTCCCCCAGATATCTGCCCTTGCGCGTCCCAAAATACCAGGGCCAGAAATACGGAGTAGCTATACAGTAGATACGGCATAGGTACGTCTGCTACGGAGTAGCCTTGCTATAAGAAGAACTATACCTACAATATAGGTGAGATCCACATTTTTGTGACGCGATTAGTAGATCTATATAAAACGTCTCGGGCTCCTTGCCTTTTCCGCGTAGTATTATGTACTTCTCGCGTTTGCATCCAGACCTGCCGGCGATCAGGCTGGGAATGCTCACGTAGTTGTAGGAGTAGTGCTGGCGGGAGCAGACTGCCTCTCGGGATGGGCGGTATTGGGATGTTCACTAGTAGGGTGAACCGCGGGAGGAACAGAGTCGCGTTTCTACTGTAACGCGCATAAGAGCAGGATGGGCGAGGACTCCTCGGAGGTTCTGGAGGATGGCTCGCCGCGTCTGCGCCACAGCGGGAAAAGAGAGGGAAAGAGATCCGCGTGACTCACTTCCTGGGAGGGAGAGGGGGAGAAACTTTCGTGGCGAACAAGAAGTACTAGTACAGTATAGAACAGAAACCGCGTCGGGACCTCAACTTGAAGAACTACTACAAACTTTGTACACTAAGTAGTATTCGTTAGAGTCAGCGGTTTCGTTTTGGGCGAACTATTGTTTTATCTGCTTGGTGACAAACGCTATACAGTCTCGCCTGAGAAACCCGCGTTCGACGGGACTTGCTCTCCGTGCAACAATACAAACCTGAACTAAACTTGAGGTGAGTGTAAAAAAAAGCGGACTGTAATGCGTGCTATTTAATCGAATAATTGGGTGTATTCAGCGACGTCCGAAGTCACTAAAGCCTTATACCTGCGAGATCGGGTACTGTTGATTGCGTTTTGAGACGCGTGTAAACCTCGTCCTGGCGTCAACGTGAGACCAAGTAAACGCCAGAACCAGGCCAGTACATCGTAAGCCACCCTTCGGCAAGATACTGTAGACAAGTCGTACACACCTTGTTGACAACCCCTGTGTACAAACAAGTCGTAGAAGTGAATGGAATGAGCTGTAGGTTCCAAAGAAAAAGAAAAACGCGGTCTCCGCAGAAACTCGTGGGTGAGCCAACTTGGCGACACTATTCTGCGTCGCCATGGGAAAGAGGGCAGCCACTGTCAGGCAGCAGGCAGAGGAGGGGTTGGTAAGCTCCACGCCTCACCAGGGGTTGGTACATGTCCGCTTCTGAATTGACGGAAAGAAGATCCTGAACGCTGTCGTGACCCACTGGGCCGAAGCAAGCCAGCCGATGCAGAAAGTTTGACTTAGGGGAGGAGGAGAGAGGGAGGGGATCTACTAGGGGGCTGCTGCGATGACCGAGTGGAGTCAGGGGAAGGGCATATGATATCAGGGCATTCGCTCTGACTTGACTCAAATTCTAAGGTAGTTTCTAGACCACTCCTGATTTTCTTCGGGTTCTTTTCCACCCAGCCCTGACAGAATCCGGGAGGATCTCAAGGCGACCCTCTGGAAACTCCGAGTAGATATTCTGGTAGCCCTGATTTTCCCACTACCTACACCCTTCCCTTCCCGATGCCCCCCCATAGAATACAAGTTTCTCCCACTCTCCTGACACCCGTCACACTTCCTAAGACCCGACTACCAGGCTACTAGTTGGGGAGGAGTACTACCCATACACCCCTAGAACACATGTGACTCCGATGAGCCACGGAGCATGGAACAACCAAAAAAGGAATCATTGGAAATGTGTGCCCTTCGAGCATTTCTTCGGCCGGCCATGAAAAATCAGGGCAGTGCATATTCGGACCTTGGGAGAAATTCGAAGGGAGCCCTGAGCGCCAGAGCTGCTCAAAAACCTTACATAAGCCCTGGTCAGGGGTCCTTCTGCCTTGCTCATTCTTTCGAGGAAAAAGGTGTTAGGGCGTGTTTTTATTCGACGTCATCCCATCCTTGTTTGATCCGAGAATGCTAGAAAACTAATCACATGCGTAATGCAAAAACTTTACAGTATACGATTGGTTTCCAGCTTTCTCGGATGAAACCAACTTGGGATCACACCGACAGAAAACACGCCATCTGACTGGCGAGCAGAGGGGGGGTCAGGGAAACTTGAAGAGGAGGGTAGACAAGAAGGTGGACTTGGAGGATATCATTAACGTACACCTGTTTCGAGTTAAATGTTCTCAGCGGAAACTTCTCTAAAATGTTTACAGTCAATATTGCAGATTTAGCCTGCTCTAATCTCACTACCAGGTGCTTGCACCGTAAGAGTAATTTCAATTTCACCACTTTCAGATTCCCTCAACTGAACATCACACATGCATATTTTGGGAACAGAGCAGCGATTTCATAAACAAGGCCTTGTTCGATATCACGCACCGAAAACCCCACGGAGGATCATATGACATGCTCGACATATGCATCATCATTGGGCGACATGCCGAGTCAAACTACGACTACTTTCAACTCGGAAAAAGGCTAAAAATAAGATAATTTGAGGCAACACGGGTCCCCGATCAGTCCTCTGTAAATAAAATAGTGCTTCACAAAAGACACACAGATTTTTTTTTAGATTAGTGTATCGCCGGTGAATGACTAACACTATTGGGGCAAAGTAAGGACGCCCACTCGCCTAATTGAAGGGCACCCAATAGCTTGAATTCAGTATTTGTTTTACTCGTTCTCTCTCTCTCTCTCTCTCTCTCTCTCTCTCTCTCTCTCTCTCTCTCTCTCTCTCTCTCTCTCTCTCTCTCTCTCTCTCTCTCTCTCTCTCTCTCCTTGATTTTATTTTAAAACGCGAATGCCAAGTAGTTCAATGGTAGGAAAGGTTGGTTGCATAGGAGGACGAGATTGGTTGTCGAGTAGTTCTCCTAGGGAACTCTCAACCGAAGGTAGGAAGCTCGAGACAGTTTTGGGCCATTCGGTACGCGCGTTTTGATACCTTATCAAATTGCTACCACATGCAGGTAATGTTATTCTTCTTTTACTTTGTTTCGTTTGGGAACAAAATCTTTATTTTTACGTGGCCCAAACCAATTGGTCGTCGATCTGCTTGGTTGTGTTTTGCAGGCGCTCGAATCCATCTAACGAAGTATCATCGCAAATCTTCGCTGCGTTTTTTGTTTTTAATGGCATCAACGCCAGCACAAAAAACTGTCCAAACTAGGTGGAATCTTGATTCCTATGGAATACACCACTAAAATATACACTAGCGCCAATGAAGCACCCCATATAATTTCTGGCCCTATTGAATCTCGACATCCGCGTGGGCCAACCGGCACACCACCAAATCTAGGTGTTGCCTTTGCGTCGCCAAGTATATACACATCATCTTATTTTGGAGAACCAGATTCTACCACGGTGCGCTCTAGTTCCCTGAAATGCCAAAACCTATGGCAAAACCGACTCTAACGTGAAAAACGGTTATGAATCGTAATTAGGGGTTGTTCGCAAGTCTGGATGACATTACCCATGGCGAGTCTACGTGGGTCTCGTGTCTGTATGAAGCCTTTTCAACAACATGTTTACACAGTGAAATATATCATAAATGCAAAAGTCAAAACTAGCACTACTAAAGATTTGGTCTAGTTGCAAAATATGGGTCAACTCTGATTGGTAAATATCTAAATTCTCACAATCAAAAGCAAGATCTGATACAGATTCTCTCTTGTCGCGCTTCGTAGTTTCTCCTAAGTAGAACCACTTTTGCATATAATGTTGTCAAGTTCTATTGTATTTCTGTGAAATTCTTAGTGCTCTTGAAACACTCGCCATTCAAAGTAGGGAGAGATGTAAACCGAATGGATATACCATTTACCTTCCCTCTAATTGCATGCCCTACACTACGAGAAGTCCCCAAAAGGCCTAACGACAAACAGGGGGAAAAAATGTTGAAGGCAGATACACCAAACCCTAGGCTCGTTTCTAGTTCGGTTTCCACCCTACAATCTATACGGGTCGGTAGACCCCTAAATCTGGACGCCCAGCCTTGTAGGGCTCCCTGTAGGGGCTACGGGATTCGGGGCCCTTGCACGCGTGCAATGAGCGAGCTGGCGTTCGTCTCACTGGGCTGCCCCCCTGCCGAGCTCGCCAGTCTGCCCAGCGGGGTTCAGGGTGACTCGGCACACGGACTCTGTGCCCCCGTAGGGACCGCATGACGAGGCAGCTCGCCAGCGTGGCCTCGGGCTCGGAACCAGGTCTACGTGCGAGCCTCGGAGCCTCGGAACTACACGCCTTGTTATTTTTAGTGCTGTCATTTCTCCAACTTATGTATAAGCGTATGGTGTAATAACGGGGAAAACATAATGAAATAGATAGTCCAATGCTTGATAATACTACAGACATTGCAGGTTCTTTTCGATTGTTTCATTGTATTTTTATCATTTTGTACGCGTCTATGAATATAAAATATGCATGCATGCATAAGCATAATTTGTAATACGTCAAAGAATAATTCACTTAGGGACGCATGAATATGATTTGGCGAGTATTGATACATTTGCCTCATGTCTTGCATCGGATTTTATTATGATGTGTGAAATTAATATGTTTGCTAAAAATGACAGAATCATCAGTTTGGACATATGGGAATTAGTACAAGAATTAAAAAACCATAATTATAAGCTTTAAATAAGGAACCATTTAGATAAATTTATTAAAACCTTGAATACCATTAGAAAGCTCATGGCCTAGAATCATATTTAATAATTGGAAAATATATGCATTGTTTTAAATCCCACTTTTAATACTAGAATTCATACGATTTGTGGCATTCTCATATTGTTATCGCATGCTAGAAGTTATTTCAGATTTTTTCTCATGAAAGCACCAAGTTTTACCCTTTTCCCCTTTTGTCTTATTAGAATTCCTCAATATATTATTTAGTGCTAATCGATAAAAAAATTTATTAATGATATGTAAATACGTATACGCTTATTGGAAATCATATTCTAATATCGAGTCTGATTCTAACAGCAGGTCGCGTATAAGGGGTGTGCGTGTTTCTTGGAGGGGCTGTTTTTCTTGATGATCCTGGTGCCAACTTCAACGCGTGTAGCATTTGTTTTTTCATTCTTTTCCACGCGTGTGCAGTATGACGCGTGCAAAGCGCTCGACCACTAACACTGGTCACTGTTAAATCTTGCACGCATTTATTAACATTGTTTCCGGCATTAAACCCTTGCGCGTAAATCCAGCCTTATATGTGGGCGCAGACATTTTTGCGGAGCCTCAGGGGATGAATATCGAACCACATGCAGCCATGCGTCCAGTAACCCATATGTATTCATCGATGTTGTCGGATCGGTAGCTCTACCGAAATGGTCTACCGAAACGGCCGCCCATTTTGCGACCGCGCACTGCGCCCAACCATTCCCCCCCCCCCCCCCCCCTTCTCCTCCCCCCCCGTTTATATAGCACAATAATTTTGGAATTGCTCGCCACGAAACGATGAGCGAGGCTTCCCCAAATTCTAGTGCACCCTCGTTTATCAGGTCGGGAAATCGTAAGTTGCATCGGGTGGTTATCACTAAGTGCGAAATCACGATGGGACTTTCCTGGAGTCCATCTCCACTGTAACTCCATATGCCGAAAGAATCCAACCGGTATGATACAAAAGAGAGTCGAAGCTATTTATAGAAGTCTAAAATTTTCCGCACGAAGCTACCCCTAAAATACATGAAGTACAGTTAGGGCACATTCAAGCCATATTTCGATTCTCAGATCACGCACCTTATAACGGAACCACCTAGCCATTCACTAAGGTATGAAAATGGAGATAAATAATAAATAAACAAAACACTATTTTGGCTCAAGCTGAAAGCCCATAACCGACATCTGTGGATTTTGTTCTAACTGACATGCGCTCTTGACGTACGGTAGAAACACGCAGTGATTTTTCCAAATGGATGTCTTTTTGCCATGGGTTGAAAATTTCCGGAATAGTTAAAAAACCCACGTGCCAAGGAGTTCAATGGTAGGAAGGTTGGTTGGATAAGATGACTGGATTTTTTGTTGAGTAGTTCTCCTAAGGAACTCTCAACCAAAGGTTGGAAGCTTGAGGCAATCTTGGGACACGGTACGCGGATTTTAAAGCCCAGATCCTAAGTTGCAAGGCGCGAGATTTTTTGCTAGCAATATCGAGGCGCAAAAATGTTGGTAACCCCATGCACCCGGATGAAACTGAACTGTAAGGAATTAACATTCCTTACTGCGCTGAACTACAGCGCGTACACCCGAAGACCTCGAACTCGCAGG